GCTTGAGCCCAGGAGTTCGAGACCAGCCTGGGCAACACAGGGAGACCCCGTCTCTATAAAAAAATTTAAAAACTTAGCTGGGTGTGGTGGTGTGTGCCTGTGGTCCCAGCTACTTGGGAGGCTGTGGCAGGAGGATGGTTTGAGTCCAGGAGGTCAAGGCTTCAGTGAGCTAGGATTGTGCTACTGCATTCCAGCCTGGGCAACAGAGTGAGACCCCATCTCAGAAAAAAATAAAACGACAAAAAAAAAGTAAGCCTCTGGGACCTGCTGGCTGACACAGTGCTTCACTTAACAGACTCCTGAAGTCCCAGGTACCAGAATTTGCAGGGACAAAGCCAGTGATCCGTGGAGACAGGGCCAGAGACTGTCTCTGGGTCTGTAAGCTGGCCATTACAACCCTGGGGTCAGCCTGGCCAATCTTGACACATACTTAGGGAGACTTATTCTAGAAGGTTCTAACATGTCAGAGGGAAGGTGCTCCAACCATGCAGAGGGAGTCTGACTCCAGCCTGGACTGAGGTCGCCAGGGTACTGCACCCAGAGTGCCTGCATGGGGCCCTGTCCTGGGAAGGCTGCAGGATGAGCATGTTTGGGGGTGTGGACCCCCAGGGCCGCCCCTCCTGGGATGCTCACTTCTTGGAGCCGGTCTGAGTGCCTTGGGCAGCGCAGCTGTAGTTCCCGATGTCCCTTCCAAAGCGCACAGCCATGGTTGTGTCACAATCATCCACCGTCACCACGGCCATCTTCTCCCCGGATGGCCCGTGGGGCAGGCCCAGGTGGCCGATGTTGGGCTGTAAGAAGAGAAAGCACAGAAAGCATCAGCACTTTCCCCACCAGGGCCCTCAGCAGGCACACCTGTCACTCATACAGCGGGGAGGACACGGCACTGGGTGGGCAGCACGTAGACAAGGGACGAGGAGCCCCTGGCCTTTAGTTCCCTAAACTAGCTGTGCTGGGCTGCTTGGTGCCCCCTCAAGTTCTGCTTCCCAGAATCTCAGAATGTGGCCTGGTCTGGACAAAGAGCTGGTGCCGATGGAATTAACTAAGATGCAGACGTCCTGGAGTAGGCAGGCCCTGATCCAAGATGACTGGTGTCCTCTTAAGAGGACAGATGCGGAGACGCAAAGGCACGCAGGGGAGAAGCCACGTGACTGTGGAGGCAGCTGCTGGAGCAGCTGTTTATAAGCCAAGGGCCACCTGAGCCACCAACACCTAGGAAAAGGCAGGAAGGGTCCTCCCCTTGAGCCTTTGGAGGAGGCACAGCCCTGCCCACGCCTTGACTTCTAAGCGCCAGACTGAGAGAGAATCGTGTCTGTTGTTTGAGTCACCCTATCCATGGTACTTTGTGACGGTGGCCCCAGAAAATGAAGATAGCAGCCAACACCCAAGCCCCGGGGCCCCTCCTGTGAGCACCCGCTTCTGCTCTTCTGGGGGTGTCCTGACCATGGCGCCTGGCCAGGCTCATGCTCCTGGAGTACAGATACCAGGAGGCTGCTGCCCGGCCCGCAGACGGCCCCACATCTCCCCTCTAAGGCGTGGAGCTCCCTCTCTGGGCCAGGAGCACGTTCCAGGGCTGGGTACAAGAGTTCTTCTGAATCAGTGACCTCAGGTGAAACCTCTCCCTTCTCGAAGAGACTGTGGTTCACCATCTGGGGATGAGCCCACTTTCCCCAGGCAGCCCTCACAGGTCTCACCTCCTGGTCAGCCCCTCCCAGGACATGGAGCATATCCACCCAGCCAGCTCAGATGCCCTTCCAGGAGGAAAAGCAGCACCGGCCCTGCATGATCCACGCGGCCACGGATGGATCTCAAAGATCTCATGTGGGTCTCAAAGTTCCAGAAACCCAGTTGGTGCCAGCTCCAACCGGAACAGGCAACAGAATGTCCTTCATCTGCGCAACCTGGACAGCAAGACCTACATCCCGCAGGTGGCCATGACGATGAGCCAGGAGATCGCCAGGGAAGCACCACCATGCCCCGCAATCGGCACACAATGCGCAGCAGAGCCTCCCCCTCCACCCCAGAGCGAACCTTTTCTTCCAGTCCCAGCAGGGTCCCTCCCACCACCCCTACACAGGATGGGTTCAGTGCCTCCTCTTGATAGTTCTGGGGTCAGTTTGAGTTTACAGCATGATACAATCTCATGCTTCTTTATAAAACTTGGAAATAGATCGTTGTAAAAACGTGGAATTTAATTAAATCATCCTCAGTGCCTTTTAATAGGAAAATCACCACCACATAGTTCATTCAAAAATAAATCTTCAGTTTTTAATAGGAACAAAGTATCTATTTGATCAGGGAAACTAGGCAGAAAGGCAGGACACAGAACTGGAAACAGGAGCTCAGCCAGATGGCCAAGTTGCAGGACTTCAGGGGACCCTGGACACCCAGGCAGCATGCACCCTGCCTGGAGTTGTGCAGTGGGCAGCCTGCACGACTGTATGTGGCCACCCCAGCTGAGGTTTCTACTCCCTCTTATCCAATCATCTAAGGCAGATGAGACCCATCACCGTACCTCAATTTCTTTTTGTGCAAGATAATGATTTACTATTAGAACACACATCCTCTCTGTGTTACAGGGAATTGAGGGTGATAGCAACAGAGATACGTGAGTTTCCCACACACCCTTCTCTGTAAATCCAAGCAAGGCTTCTACCATGACCCCTGGTATTTGAGTGCATGGATCACCTTTTTCTTTTTCTTTTTTTTTTTTTCTTCTTTTTTTTAAGACGGAGTCTTGCTCAGTCGCCCAGGCTGGAGTGCAGTGGCGTGATCTCGGCTCACTGCAAGCTCCGCCTCCCGGGTTCACGCCATTCTCCTGCCTCAGCCTCCCAAGTAGCTGGGACTACAGGCACCTGCCACTACGCCCGGCTTTTTTTTTTTTTTTTTGTATTTTTAGTAGAGACGGGGTTTCACAGTGTTAGCCAGGATGGTCTCGATCTCCTGACCTTGTGATCCGCCCGTCTCAGCCTCCCAAAGTGCTGGGATTACAGGCGTGAGCCACCGCGCCCGGCCGGATCACCTTTTTCATTTTTCTTTTACATCAGCTGATGAAATCACAAGGTCTGATAAGCTGTTTCCTTAAAGATTTCACTTTTGGTTAAGTAACAGATAGGTGAGTGCATTAAAAATCATCTGTTTTCTCGCTCTGTAACTCGGCCCACTTTGAAAATGCGTGGAAGTGTCCATTATGGGATGCCTAAATGTGAGGTGCGGTCCCAGAGAAAGAAGAACCTCCCCCCACTGTGTGAGCCCCACATTATCTTTACAACTTATAATTTACATTTCTGGGGCTGGGTGTGAGACTTCTGGAGGAAGGGCGTAAGTAGCATTTACACTGGGAAGGCTTTCATGAAACTAAGCTGCTGTTTACAAAACTGCAGTTGTTGTAAACTGCTGCTAGTAATCAACGGCTCAGAGCTACGCATTCAAGCAAAAACAGCAGGATAAAGAAAGTTGGAGGCAAAAGACAAAACCACTACAGTCTATGCTTGTTTTTCGAGTGGCACGGACTCATGTGAGACGCCCACTGCTAGGGCACCCGAGTTCAGTCTGGCCTTCGTGAATCAGAGCAGCAGGCAGAGGGCGTTTAGGAAATGGTCTCTGATAGACAGCACCCAGCATGTGCTGCTCGGTTCTGACTCCCAGAGAGACCCACTGGCAGCCACTGGGTCAAAAGTAACAGCACTTTTGATGAAAGAGCCGAAGGTTCTCAGGTGGAGACTGGAACAACCAGCAGGAGGGCTGCACGGAGGAGCGGGGGGACTTGTGGGGTCTGAGGTCCCCGCTGCTCGGAGAAGCAATCACAGACTCCCGATGGCCCATCCCTCTCCTGCCGCCCCAGGATAGGTGCTGAGTGGGGCCCTGGTTTAAGATGCCCGCCTCTCAGTGAGTGTGGGTTTAACATGCAGGCTAATCGTCCACTCTCCCGCCTCTCGGTGAGTGTGGGTTTAACGCGCAGGCTGACTGTCCACTCTCCCGCCTCTCGGTGAGTGTGGGTTTAACGCGCAGTCTGACCATCCACTCTGCAGTTGAGGCCAGCAAGTGACGGGGCGGCAGGGAGTGCATGGACACGGTGCTGTGGGTGACTTGAGATGCACGGGCGGGCTTCCCCAAAGCATTGAACGCAGAACTACTACATGACCCAGCACCACCTCCCCCAGGCGTATACCCAATAGAACTGAAAACAGGAACTCAAAAACCAGTTCATGAGTGTTGATGACGTTGCTATTTACAATTCAGAAAAAGTGGAAACCACCTAGATGTCCATCAGTAGATGAGTGGACAAACTGTGGCCCATCCCTGCACCAGAATCCCAGTCACCGAAAGGTACAAAGCGCTGACACACGACGGCACAGGGGTCCCGGAACACATCGCACTCGGTGAAAGCAGCCAGACACGAAAGGCCACACACCATGCAACTCCATTTCTATACAATGTCCAGGACAGGCACATCCACAGACACAGAGCAGACAGGTATTACCAGGGGCTCGGGGAGGAGGATGGGGAGGTGACTGCTAATGGTATGGGGTGACGAAAATACTTCTTTTGAGGTGGCATCTCGCTCTGTTGCTCAGGCTGGAGTGCCATGGCGAGATCTCAGCTCACTGCAACCTCCGCCTCCCAGGTTCAAGCGATTCTCCCGCCTTAGCCTCCCAAGTAACTGGGACTACAGGTATGCACCACCACACCTGGCTAATTTTTGAATTTTTAGTAGAGACGGGGTTTTCCCATGTTGGCCAGGCTGGTCTCGAACTCCTGACCTCAAGTGATCCACCCGCCTCGGCCTCCCAAAGTGCTGGGATTACAGGTGTGAGTCACCACACCCAGCCTGGGTGATGAAAATATTTTATTATTTTTTTAAAAGTTACTATTGGTCAATTGATGGCATGAAAATATTTTAGACCTCAATAGAGGCAGTATGGCACAATACTGTGAATATACTAAATGCCACTTTAAAACTTAATTTTATGCTATGTGAACTTCACCTCAATAAGGCAAAAAAAAAAAAAAAAAAAAATTCCTGGGTTTGCATCCTCCCCTCCCCAGCCACCTGCCAACTCTCCACCTGAAGAACTTTTGGGAAGATCCTTCCAATTTTCCCCTCTGACATGGAGAGAAAATGCATTATTTGACCTTCCTGCCAGGCGGCTACGAGTGATAAAACGCAGTCAGAGAGGTGAACATTTTCTCCGGGAGGGGTGGAGAGGTGCGCAGACAATTACACAGGCGGCTTGAATGGGGATAGGTGAAGACAACAGCAGGTGTGTGTGGGCTCAGGTCCCCCATTTTTGTCAAAGGAAGACAAAGCGCGTCTCCGCTGAAAGGCTGGCGTGGAGCACGAGGCGGCAGTACAGAAGAGACTATGTGGTGGTAATAGCTCCAGAATGTGGCGCGGCGCGTCCGCCTCTGAGTTTTACACAGAGAAAGCGGCTCAAGCAGCTTCCGCAGGGCACTGGCGTGGCAGCATCTGGCCAGGAAAAGCACTCGGTGGCTTGGCTGGGTCACAGCCGATGATGAATGATACGGGTCGGGGAGATAAGGAATAAGACAGACGCACCGCCCCCTCACATTTCTAAGAGGAATTTTTAAAGTTTGCCACATATTTATACAAAAGAAAAAGACAGTGTGGGAATGAAGGGGGCCACATGGTCGTATCTGAGTTTTTTCTCAATTCTTGTGTTGGAAGGCTCCGGGCACAGGATAGGCCAAGGCCAGCACGGTGGAGGCACCAGCGCCCCGGCACCCGCCCTCCCAGGGCTCAGCTGGGTACTGCGCAGCAGCCGGCCTG